TGCGAAATCTGATGGCACCTTTCAAAATATTTGCTGGCAATTGGCCGAGGACATGTTTTTGTTTTTCGTTCAAAGGAGGATTCATCTAGTGCCAACATGGCTAGCTGGCTCAGAGGATGCCCGCGCGATTTGATTGGGCAAGGCCTGTTTCATGAGGACCTCCCGCGTTCAAAGCCTGTCTTGGTGGACACTGGTCTTCCGGGCTTGGAACTGTTGTGCATAACGAATGGGGAGTCACCCCCCCATTATCAACTCGGCCAAACCTCACTTCCTGAGTTCCGTTTTCTGTACACCATGTTAGTGGTAAACAAAAAGCTTAGAGCATGTGATGCTGCCATGCTACTTACATAGTGAACCATTTTAGTGCTAGACTTTTTCTGACCAATCCACTCAGGAAGGTGAGCTCAGATGCCCAAAGCCGACCTTTTGAGCTTTTGGTTTTCCTGTCTTGGTCCATATTTCGTGGTCCCAAAAGGTGATCACCTTCTATTTCCAGGTCCTTTGGGCAAGTAAGTGAGAAACCAGCGGCCAGAGTCGCCAGAGAGCAGCTCGTAGCTCGCCAGGCCAAGAACTCCATCAAGGAGGCGGTGGTCCAGGAGCGCTCCCACCGCGCGGCGCCAAGGAGTAGTCGCGTTTCACGCGCAATTCCAGGTGGCGCCCAGTGGGTTTGCGCCGTGGCTGGCGGGAAGTCAAGGAAGATGGATTTCATTTCCAGGTGTTTTTTTTGGTGCTGAAGGCATGGGAGGCAGTGTATTTGTTTCACGCTGGCTTTCCCAGCCGGGCTGGGTTGGCTCCGGAGGTGTCATAAAATGCAAGTTGACCTGGTTTTTATTAAAGTCCGGGTGCTTGTTTATGTGCGTCGTATTTGTTGGTCGGGGTATTGCCAAAAAGAAGCAGGTTGGACCTAGGTGATTGCAGGATCCAAATTTCGAGACCCAACCTGGGCCCTCTTAGGTTTGAATGAAAGGTATGGTGGTAGAAGGGGTCAAAACTAGCTTTCCCTTTTTGCCGTTCGATGCTTGTCACTTGGAATGTATTTCAAAATTCAGCTCTGACTTAGACAGTTTCAGTGGGCTGGATGCAGATGACCCCTGAGGTTGTGGCAATTGCCTTCCCGGGCTTCTGATGCACGTGCGAGTGGCGATGGGCTCAGCTTCATGTGGGAGGCTTGAAGGACCCCCCAAGGCAGACCTTGTGGGTTTTCCGCTGGAAGATGTCAAGAAGGGGCTCCCCTTTTTCCAGCGCCATGAGGCGATTGCGCCCAATGTGGGAGCTGGTCAATCGTGCTTGCTTTGGTTTTGGGATGTTTTGCGAGGTGTTGGGACCTTGGCGCAATTTGTTGTGCCGCTTGCGTGTCGTGTCTTCTGTCATGCCTATGGTCTGAGCGGGGCCTCCATGTGTTCAATGTGGGTGGCACCTGTTGGCTCATGGCGCATTGGTTTGAGCCAAAGGGCGCGCTGGGAATGCTTGGTACCCCCTGGCCGCGATGTGCCACCCAGCAACTCTAGACTGTTAGCACGCGTGCAGCATCCTTCTCAAGGCTAGCCCCCCCCCCCCCCCCGTGCCCCTTTCTTGCCATGTTTGTTGGATGCCGGGACCACGAAATGAGGAAGGCTCGCCACATGTCTAGCAAAGCCGTTGGCCCGGCTAACAGAAAACGGAACGGAACGTGTCTCACGGATGGCTTGGCAACACTTCCGCCCAAGGCTGGCAAGAACTCCGAGGGCCGAAGCCACTTTGGGCCCAGTGCTGTGGGGAAGCCCGACAGGTGATTGGCTCGGAAGGCCCTCCTGTGTGCATTCTCCCAAAGCACGCATTTGTAGGGAAATACCGAAATACCCTTGGTGGAAGTGGAGGTTCCATGTTTCGGAAACAACCAGCTGCAATCTTTGGGGGCTACTCTGCACAGGAACTGTGCCCCATAAGACAAAGCACACTCACCGACACATGAATGGGGTTGCGTCAAGCCGAGGACCTTCCCCGAAAGGTTTGTTTCTAGAGTGTTTGTCAATGGCCATCGCTTTCCTAGTATGCACCAAAACACATACGAAGCATATAGTTGATTTGCAGGTCCCTTGGACACCAAATCCACAAAAGGCTGGTACCAATCACAATGCCCCATACCAATGGCTTGCGTGAGTGTTTCATGTTTCAGAAGTTGTTGGCACCGATGCCTTTAAGACGTGAACCGGAGCTTCGCCAAGCCAGCAGAAACCTGACTGGCGATTTGGAAACGCGCGCGTTTCTTGGCAGAGCAATGTATCATTCAATGAGGGTACCCCTTGATCCAAGAGAGCCCCCAGCCGCCCTTAGGACTCTTAATGCTAACGTGGGATTAAGAAACCCTCTCCCCCGCCCGAGAAGGTCAAACCTCGGATTAAACGGGTTTCGGGGGAGCAAGTGGTCTGCGGGAGAAGGTAGTTGTAGCTGGCCGCTTTGCGGCATTGAGGTCGCATCCGGAAATTGGATAAAGTTTCCATTGGGCGGGAATTGAAATCGAATGACTTTTCGTGCGGGAAATGGTTCTTCCGAACGCGCCGTATTTAATGGGGGTGGTCCTGGAGGCCCACGTCAGAGTTTTGTTTGTTGGTGTTGGATCCCAAAGACGCGCCTTAGAAATCGGGTCTGTTCAATTAGAATTGATCGGATGCAATGTTTTTCCCAGCAATCCTAAACACGCTGCTCAGCAGACGTCAAAAAGCTGGTTAAGGCATGCATTGGTACCAATGGTGACTTTCGCTTCGCAGTGAGAGATGTGTTGAGAAAGGCGGAGGCTGAAAGCGACTTGTTGCTTTGGAGGATGATCTAAACCAACCAATTTGTGTGAAATGGATGACATGGCTCAATAAGCTCCAAAAATGGGAGGTTTACCTGTTGGTTTCCATTTAAAGTCGCAGAAAAGGGGTACCCTCAAAAAACAAATGCACCCATAGAATATGTTGTTTTTGAACGAGCCATCCGATTTCTCGCCCAGTCCATCAAGACCAACTACGACAAGCCCATCCAGTGTGCAGGGACAGCCCAGGTCGGAAGATTTGGACGGGGTACCTTCTAGAGCAACCTGGAACCAAAGAAAACGCCCCCAAAAGGAGAGTGCTCCAAACGGATGGGTTTGGGGATTTTATTTATTTATTTATTTTGGGGGGGGGGTGCGTGTTAAACCTGGAGAGTAGATAATGTTTATGCTGGGACGGTCCCAGCACAACACATGATGCAGCCAGCCTTTTGATTCTTTACATGGTTCTGGGTGGGCCTGTTTGATGGCGTGTCTTCATTCTGAAGCCAGAAACGGGCAGAGCCCTTCATTTTCTTTCTCGAGGTTTAACTTATTCGTTTCCTAAAGCAAAAGCTGCCAAAACTTGGAATTGTTGGCAAAGGACCCAGCGTTTGTGTTATTCGACCTGTTTTGGGAGCTGGGGGAGCATGTCCAGGAGAAACCGAGTTGCTCCCTTTGGTGAGACACAAATCGGCGGCTTCTCGTTCATTCCAGGGAGGAGTCTCGTTTCGCACGTCGTAGCTCGTTGAAAGCCATGAGCTCGCAGGTGGAGATCTCTAGGTAGGAGCTTTGCCCATGATCAAGGTCCCCTAAACCCTAAAACCCCTAGCCCCAAACCCTAAATGCTGGGGTTTGGGCTTTTGGACTTAGGGTTTGGGGTTTAGGCTTTTGGACTTAGGGTTTGGGGTTTGGGGTTTGGGCTTTTGGACTTAGGGTTCCAGCCCGCCAAAGGGGAATTTCCCGCTTTTTCATGATGCAAGGAACTGCCGCAGCTCATTGTGCCCTTCCAGACCTAAGCTGTTGGTCCTTGAAGGTGTTTTAAACGGCTTGCTCTACTTGAATGCGCGGCACGGATGCTTTGCTATCACCCTGGCCGTATTGCACACACGCCCCGCTGGAAACAGCTGCCCTTGCCATTCCAAACCAACTTGTTGCCGCTTGATGCACTTTTTCACTTGGGGCACCTTTGTGCAGAGACGTGTGTGTGTGTGTGTGTTGCAATGCTTTCAAGGGCATCCCCTTGGTTTGGCGAATCGAGAAATTCATTGCTTCGCAGTACTCCTGGTTTTTGGCGGGATTGGTTCGGGGCCCACTTTTTGGTTTTGCCGACACGCCGCTAAAGCGGTTCCCAACGTCAGGACATGGAATACTCGAGGGTACTGTGCTATTTCTATATATTTCTGAGTAGGAGCCAATTGAATTAACAAAGGTTCAGGTTTGCACATCCTACCATTGTATCACAGCTATCCACATTGCCTTTGGCCTTGCAGACGTCACTTAGAGTCGGGTGCTTTTTGTGGGTTTCAAGGCGATTTCCTCTTTACCGGCCAGTCATGTGAACGATGAGTGAACGTTTGCACCCGACAAAATCGAGGGTGTTCCAATCTAGAAGTGATCTACTTTCAGGGGCAACACCGGTCCATCAATCGCACGGGGTCGACAGAGATCGGGCAGTGGAATGTGGCTGCAGTGACGATGCATTCTTTGTTTGAAATGTGTGCATGCGATGCGTTGCACGCAACCGTTGCAATTGGGCTGGTGGCACATTCTAAGCCAGAATCCGCCATTCCCGGTTCGGAGAGGCTTGAGTTACCAAGAGAAGCTCGTGCTGGGAGTGCCAAGTGTTTAATTTGGTGAACACAGTGGCAGACAAGCTAAGTATGTTGCCAAAGCGCTTGTGCTTGTGCTCGCTATGCTCGATTCAGTGAAGGTCGCGTCATGTTTGCCCGGCCTCTCAGCGCGGATCAGCACAGGACGTCAAAAGCCCTTCAACATCAGCCCACAGACCTTGAGCATTGCACCACGCGCTACAACTCAGCTTTTTCAGCAAGCCAGTTCATTCTGAGAACATTTGCCTTTCAAATTCCAGTATGTCTGGAGTCAGCTAGCTATGAAAAACCGCTTTTCGGAAACCGGCCTCTCAGCCTCTGGTTTTTTTCCGGAAGTTTCCCGGATCTTTGGGCAGCCCCGCCCGCCCGCTCGCTCGCTCGCTCGTTGGATCGCCATGGATCTTACGCCTGCGGTGCTGGCGGCGGTGCAGGAGTTCCAGTCGCCGCCCAGCGCAGAGCGAGAGGCGCAGACACAGCAGCTACAGCAGGACGAATGCGACCGAAGTGGAGTTCGATCCATAGATCCATAGCCCTTTAAGGGGGTACTGGGTTGTTTCTGGGGTACAACATACCCCCGTTGGGGTACCCTGCTGGGTTATGTCCGGATTATTTTTAAATCAACCTCCGATCGCTTCAGAAATCTCCCATTCTCCCTTGCGCGCATATCTGAGGAAGATCCCTGAAGAGAGTGGGGAAGGTACAGCTAGATATATGACAAATGATTGGGTTCCATGTTTCTTCCAAACCAATCCAAAACCAATTTGAGGGAAGCCCATGTGTGAGTGGTGAATTTGTCAAAAGGTTTGGAAAAGCGCATTTGTGGTCTTTCAAGGGAAGGCAAAAGGAAACCAAAACAAAACAGGAGGGGTGCATGCTCCCGGTTAGGAGCTCCTGCAGATCTGCCAGAGCTGCTCGCAGAACCTCAGCCTCCCTCCTGGAGAGCGCCTCGACATGGAGGGCATGAGGGGGGTTTCCGGCGTTTCCGGTCTCTGGGATTTTGGCTGCTGTGAAGAATAAATGGCTGCTTTCAAAACCGTTTTGGTACCATGCTGGGGTAGGTGAATTCACCACCCATTTTAGAACCTATTTTAGTGCTTGGATTGGGATGTTCACTGGGGGTACGGGCTTTTGACCCATGGCCATACATATATATGTATGTATGTTTTTTTTTTTTCCTGTACACGTGTAATATTCTGTTGCTCTTGTTTCCTGAGGTTATGTTGGCAAGAAAGTGGTGTCAAAATCGGAGACCCCAAACTGGCGGCTCTGAGAAGTTGGCAGAGGCTGGTGCCCGTGGCGATGGTTAGCGCTGCTTATGTGTCACGCTGGTTGGCCTTTTGATGCAATAGGTGTCCTTAAAGCATGTAGCGTTGTGGGAGGTGTTTGGGGTGTTTGCTTCATGTGTAATGTGCTTGGAGTAGACTGGCTCAACTTCGCTGTTCTGATTCCAGCTGCATGGTTGAGACTGTTTTGGGCAAATCCGGGCGAGCACGCGGGCCCAGACAAGCTTCTCAGACAAAAAATTATTGTCGTCCCGCACGCGCGCCGCCAAGCAGAGGTCTCTTTGCAGCGCTAAGAGCAGCGTTCGCGTGATGGGAGGTGGAGATAGGTTTGTCCGGTTTTCGGGCCCGCCAATCGAACCACTTAAAGCCTGCTGACAGCACGCATGGAACCTGCAAAGGTACCCGCCTTAGAGGCAAATGGGCAGATGGTGTTGCTGAGCCCTTTCGGGTTCCATGTGTAGGCCACAGCTTGCTGAATTCGATCCGCTTTGTGGATACGTCCTTCGCGACATAGCCATGGATGTTCAACCCACTCAGTTCCAAACACGCGTCGTTCATATCAATGGTGAAGCGGGGAGGGGCCGAAGCCATATCTGCCCTTTTGCAGCCGCATGATTATGGCCTACTTCAGTGGGTTGAACTGCCCAATTCATGGCAAGCTCTTCTGACGGGCGGGCACTGCAACTCCGGGCCTTTGGGTAAATTCAGGTGGGGGTTCGACAACATCTCGACCCCTTTGAGGTCCCTCCCTGCTCAGGCACATGTCGCAAGGGTCTGATTTGTGTCAACTCAAGTTTGAGCTTGTGCAAATTGGGCAAGAGGTACGGACGCAAATCGCGGCAACCTTAGGGCCATGAAAATAATGTTGTTCAAACAATTGGTGTGCCCATTTTCGGTTGGATTTATATAAAGCGAAGCCGCTACGAGAGGACTCGTTTTGGGGTTGCTTCCATATTTGAGACTAGCCCATATGTGCAAAAATAACGGGCTGACCCAAGCGTTCCAGCCCACAGGCTGCGCCGCGTTGGCGCGTACCAGCTCGGGGTGCAAAAAGAGGACTCCGAGCTGGACCTGATCTATGTGGCAACTCATCTGAAAATAGGAATCTTACCCTGGGTTTATTATTATGGCTGTCTTTGAGGGTTGTCCAAGTCAGAAGCATCCTGCCGCTTAGGGGTTGGCGTTGATATTGCTCAAATCGTGGGGCCAGTTACCTGCGTGTCTTTTGTTGGAGGTACCCTTGACGACCAGACGACCAGGAAACCAACAGCATGGCACCATGTTGGAGAAATCCCCCTATTTTGAGCCCTGAAATCTCGAAGTTATCTTTGCTCCACGTGGTCGATTCCTTGTCCATTCCTTTCAGCCATCGTTCTTTTCAAACACCAGCCATTTCCCCAGGTTTTTGGGATTTCTAGAAAGACGGATCCCTGGAAAGAATGGGGAAGTTAACCCTAGATTTGTGTACGAGTTGGGCTGCAAGTGACCAGATCCCACGTATCTCCTTGGGAGCCCAGGATGAGATCCCATTTCAGAACGGGACACCTAACATTGTTTGGATGGTACACTGCTTGGCTCCACATTCGGATTTTTTACTGGATGGATCCCAGCTACACCCAGAGGTAACCAGCTGATCCTTATTCCAGTTGGTACACATGGCAACTGGAGGCAATGAAACACCCTGCAGCTTCACGTTGGAGGTGCGTTGTGTAACTGGGCCGCGTGAAAGAAAAGCAAACTCGCACGGCAGTTTTGGATGACTTAAGCGCAAGATACTCCAAATATTTCTCCCCTTCCCGAGGAGACATTTCCTGGAGTCCTAGCCACGAAATTCCAGGGTCCTTGGCCAAAGCCCCCCCCCTTCACGAGGCAGAGAAAGCATGGATTGCAATCCAAGGAATTAGCAAACAAAAGCAGTGCAGGGCACAAAAGCAGAGCTTGGTCCTATCCCTGAATGCGACTGCCATGGGATTGGGATAGAATTGTGTGGAATAAGTATGTACTGGTATACTGGCCAAGTTCTTTTGCGGGGGGGGGGAAGTGCATTTGGTCTTATTACCCCCTTATTAAGTGCCTCAGCAATGCCTTAACTTAGCCTGGGCTGATCCAGGTCCCCAGCCAGGGTGAGAACGAGAAAGGGAACTTGTTCAACAGAGCAATGGCTGACTTAAGTCTACGAACCTTCTGCAGACTTACCCGACAGAAAGACCGACCAGACCGCAAGGAAGACATATTGACACTTTAGCCTTTTTTAGGGCTTGCTTACACCTCGCGTACTCAAGTTCGCTGCTGATTCATGCTTATTCGAACTCTACTAAGTGCTCCAGGGGTCTGGTGGTGAAAGTTCGGTTGAGGCGACATGGCAATTCCATTTTCTGGTTGGCTTTTCGGGAGCGAGCAGGTCGACAACAGGCAAATGCTTCCACACGCTAGCCAGGTTTCAATCAGGTTGGATATGCTGCTGTGTTTATTGAATTCGGCCGCCTAGTCCACAAATCCTTCTGGGACTGCTGTGCAGGTCTCCTCACATGGCCGGTCAAAAATATGGTACCCAAAATGGCACCCTTGCAAATGGAAATTATGACTAAAACCTGTGGTCCCCTGGTTGTTTAATTTTGACCCATACCCACATCAGCCATCATCCGGATTGGGTTCCGGTTCCCTCAAAACAATTCAGGCCAGTTTTGGTTGCCTGGCCTTTGGCTGGGGGAGTTCCCATCAGGCCCTACAAACTATCTTTGGAAAAACGTTTGGCCCTTGTGAAAAGGTGGAACAAGGAACCCTCTCTACCTTGGAGCACCGTGCCCAGAGGTGGTGCCAGAAGGTGCTCTCTCTCAGCTTCTGACAGCCGTCGAGCAGCATCTTCGACAGGCTGGGGCCGGGGGGGTGTTGCTTTGTCCGCAGGGTTTCCTGCCGGTGTCCTTTTGGCTTCCTTCTGTCTTTGTTTGCCAGTTTTGGCCGACATTCTTATTCGCGACTCAGAAGAATCACCTTGTAGTTCAATGAAATTTGCAAGTCGGCCTTGATGACCATTTTCCCTCCCTTGCCTGGCGAGTCCCTTTTCTTTGTGTGTTGCTAGTTCTTTGGGCGCTTGAACCTTTGGCTGCACACAGTGGGTTTGCAGCAGCATCCCCGAACCTCCAGGCCACCCCGCCGTCCAGCTTATCATGCTCACGCGCAAGTCCGCAGGGACAAGCCACCCACCGAGCCTGAGAGAAGTTCTCTATCCCTCCATTGCTTCATTCCAGCCCATGCCATGCCATCCACTTGCCCACGTGTCCGTTCTACGTCCAAAAAACGAGCGCGGCGCGCGGCGCCTGCAGGTTTTGCAGCTTAGACTTGAGGGCACAGACTCCAGCCTATGCTTCGAGCTCAAGGGCCAAGCCGTACGGCTGCTGCTGGCGCAGGCGCTTGCCGGGGGAGGGGGGAGGGGGAGAGGGGTGGGGTGGGGGGGCATTTGGCAGGGTCCCTTGAAACAAAAACTCTTTAACCAGCTGGTATAGAGAGGAGTTTCTGCATTTCACTTTTGTCACGAGTTCCCAAAGTGGAAGTTTCAGAGGGGGTTCAACTTGTGAAGGGGAAATCCTGGGACCCCTGTTAGACTGTTAGAGCATCCCTTGTAAAGGAGGCTGCTTGTAAGCAGCCCTGTTCAGCTGTGCTTCCGCCTTGCCCGAAATATGATATGAGTTTAAGCATGCCGCTGTTGGGGGGCAACAGCTTAGGCAAACAAGTAAGGCTGGCCAAACAAGTTGCACGGCAGACGCGGCAAATACAATGAGTTGTTGTTACATGTATGTATGTATCTATATATATATATATATGTATGTATGTATATATACATATTTAAGGACGGAAGTTCTGAGTAATATTGTTGAAGGCGGCTGCCCCAAAGTGACTGAAGGGTTTAGCGCAGTTTTCCCCCCAACTGTTTTATGTTGAGTTATTGATTTCTTCTAAACGGTATCGGGTTGATACCTGGCTGCACCTACATAGGCCAACAAGTTTGTGTGCGCTCTCTAGGTCTATAGGGGGGAAGTTACCTGAGATATAGGTGGTCAAGTCCGAAGAACATGTCGAGCATCTACAGGACGTTTTTCATGAAGCAGCTGTTGACTCGTTTGTCGGCCGCGCCTTTCCAGAAGTGCTTATACTTGGTATCAGGTACCTGTTAGGTGGTTTGGATTCGTTTGGGGGGTTGAACCCTTCCCCTCCGTGGGTGGAGGGGAAAACCACCCAACAAAAAAAAGCGGATGATCAATGTGGATGGAGCTGAGGGGTTTATGGGTTTATGGGTTTCAATGTCAGCCAGTGGCCGAATCGCCATCGCGCGTAGGACCTTCAGGGAGAAGTGGCGCTGTCCATGGCGAGTTTGGGGGAACAGGCGCGTGCGGCTCGGGCTCGGACTCGGAGTCGCGCACTTTTTCTTTTTTTTTTGGGGGGGTCGTTTTTTTTTTTCTTTTTTTTTTTTTTCTGTTGGGTCGCTTTGGAGTGTGGTTAAACTTCGAAGTCTAGCACTTTGGGGTTTTGGGGTCATTTTAGGACACACTCATCTAAATATCCCCACAAGCATGTACTTGTCTCTCTTTGAACTTCGGAGTAAGCGGCTAAGTGCTTGGCACGGTGCAATCTAGATGAATACATTTTGTCTACCAGGTGAATGCATCAGGTAGGTTGCGAGACAAGGCTGGATTTGGTTTTGTTTGCAGGTTCCCCATAGACATTGAACACCTTCGCAAACTCTTCTTTTTCCTTGACACATGATCATGTTTATCCGCCCTTGCAAAGTCATGTGCCTCCCAGCTTTGCAACTGCAGTTTGTTTGGCAGGGTCTTAAGTCTTAAGGTTGGATCGCGCGGACCTCCTCGGATATTGTTCGTGGGGCCTGCATGGTAGGTCGCGAGGATAACAGCACAGGGAATCTAAACGAACTCAAGTTTCTTGCAGGTAAGTGCATGTGTTTTTTGTCACACGACTTCAAAGCAAGTTCATTGGTTTCCCCTGGGACCAAACCTAAACATGCCGACAAAGCCCCCCTGCCGCTTTGCCCGCAGGAGCCGCAAACGGACGCGGCGCAGTCCATGGCCGCGCTGCAGGCTGAGAAGGCAAGCACTTTGGTTGGCCTTGTTTTTTGGTGTGTGTGTGTGTGTGTTTTTTTGGGTGGGGGGGGGGTTCCAAAGCCCTGGGCTTTTTTTTGGGTTGTTGTTCTTTTGGGGGCAGGGAGAGAACAGGGCCTTTTGGGTGGGGGGGCGGGAGGTGGAAACCCCATTAAAAAAGAAAAAGAAGAAACCATGAATTGGGGGGGGATGGTAGGTGTCGCTTAGTTGGTTTGGATCGAATTGGAACTGGAGAAAACCAGCTGAGAAAGTCACAACCACAGCTTCCATGGCATTTCTGTAAATATTGAAACAACTGCCATAGTCCAATATAACTTATTGTTGTTTCTTGCAACATAAACGTTTCAATGTAGGGTTCATTCGATGTAGAGATGTGTTAGTCAGGTCGATAAAAAAAGAGTATGATTTGGAACTGAATTTCAATGACATGTGTGACGTGTATAGAACTGTTCGATGTGTTCTTTTATTAGCTAGCGGATATGTGATTTTCACCTAGTAGAGTTCCTAGAGTGTAAACGGCATGTGTCTACTGTACGTAGCATGTATCCAACATATTCTAGCATGGCCGCATGTCTATCACATGTTGAGCACACCCCTAGACCCCTAGCATTTTACTCGTCCATCGCGTTTAACATGTTCTTGTATTATTATCTAGCAATGTTTGATATAGACCTAGTGGAGTTCCTAGAATGCATTTGGCACATGCCTTCCTTATGGGCCACATATCCGATACTACTAGCGTAGATCTAGCACATGTCTACTGCAATTCTAACACAACATACCCCGGAGCATATTGCAACGGGCTCCTACAATATGCCAGACATTCCTTTAGAATATCTTTCAAACTCGTATCACGTAATCTAGCAAATACCCAATACAGACCTATTAGGGTTCCTAGAGCGCATTTGGTATGTAATGTAGCTGCTGCGTGTGTCATATATCCCAACATGTGTTTGGCATATATCTAGCACATGCTTGCTAGAATTCTATCACATGATTAGCATATCATACGCCTATCGTTTGCCCGGCATATTTAACTTACCCCGAATGTAAACCTACGACCTAGTATATGTCTATATAGCGAGCGCCTACTTAATTTGAAGCAAGTACCTAACAAACATACTTATGCTTCATGTGATTTTCGTGTTCACTTGGACCTATCATGTGTTGGTCATATGTCTATCATGTACTTGTTCTAGTGGTAGTTAATGTCTAGCAGCTTTTGACGCATGCCCGGGAACTATCCAGCCACTTCTGCTATTCAAGCTTTCAAGCAACCACGATATCACGAAAGCTAGCTTTAGCTAGCTGAAGTTTCTCCTTGCGTAAGCAAGGTAAGGGGCTCAAATGCCGAAAGATTGATTTTTTCAATTATTTGAGCCGAAAAGATTGAAAAATATCAATTATTTAGACCCCCCCCCCCTCCCCCCCCCCCGGGTCTCAGGCTCGATTCCTCCCTGGTCCATCCCCCCCCCCCCGGGCAGTGGCTCAGTGTTCAGCAGTCTCGGTTTGCCCGTTTTGGACTTGGTGCTACGAACTTTTACATGTTCCACCGATTCAGCTTGTTCATTTGAGACATCAGTCTTCTCGGTAAACCACCTCGCAAGAATCTTTGCACACGCAGCATGCAGAACCCAGAGGTGCTTTCAGACAGCTTCTGACGCCTCTCGTTGTTTTCATTTTTCAAGGTTTGCCACGCCACCATGTGCGTTTGCGTGTCGCATCCTACGAATCTTGCCGGGCCTCTCGTTGTACACAAGCTACCTATGACTCCACTCTGTCACCGACCCATCTCATGCAACAACTGCTAGCTTTCGTTCACCCGCTCCTCAAGTCTGCATAAACTCAACCAATATTATTAAAACTAGCTGAAAGGCATTCTACTTGCACAAGCACAGCCCTCATTTCATTCTGGCCTCTATATTTTACTCCAAAGAGGTATTGGCAAACGGCGGCCCATTGGGCCCATTGGGCTTCTCAGGGAGTAGCCTTGATGAGTCCAGCGCTTGTAAGTCATAGGGCTGTGGAACGGAAGGTTGAAGGTTCTACATGGTTGTTGGGAAACATTGGGCACATTTTTGCTTATTGCGGTTTGAGTGGTTGAAATCCAAATCCGCTGAACTGCGAAAAAAATGATTTTGTTTGCTCCCCTTCCAAGGTAAACCAAGGATCTGGCAACCTGTGTGACTAATCACTACGGGTGTTGCGGAGAATGTGCCAAAACTGGTTGGACGTCTTGTGGGTTCATGTTACAAGGACGCATGAGCCCTTTTATTGCCAGAAGGGACCCTATTTTACTGTTTTTCTTGTGTAGGAATACTCGTTGCTGTTTCGCCTGTCTTTCATTGCCATTGGCAAGGGCCAAGCCCATGAATATGGGTTTGTCAAACATGTCACCCCCCCCCCCAAGAAAACAAAAACACACACACACACACAAGTTGGGGGGGGAGGGGGCGGGGTTCCCTTTAATAAGACAAAACATGATATAATTTATAAAGACAGGCCCAGATTTTGGGGCATTCAGCACGCCGGAGCACGTACCTGAAGGGTACGGTCGGACCAGGTAAACAATCGCCTAAATGCGGGCTGTTTTGGAGGATCCCAATTCTTGCAAGGCTCTTTTTTTCCTGGGGGGGATGCATCACTCCACCGGAACCCTGCGCTTTGCAAAAAGTTGCAGTGGCCGAAGCAAGCATTGGCTGAGCTTCGGTCTTGCCATTCTGCATGTTGAAGCTCAGCATGCAGGCAGTTTCTCGAGCACACACGGTTTTCTGAGAGATTTTCGCCGCCGCGAATAAATGTTGCTTCGCCTGTGGGAATGTACGAATTGGGTCTTCAAAGTTGGTTTGGTTCTGAGGGTTGGTTTTTGTGTGGCTTCTTTGGGCTTGACCCCCTTGAGCCAACCTCCCAAACCTATCAAAAGAGAGCTTATAAAGTAGAACCAGGTCACTGACTGAGGGGGAGAAGAACCTCAAAGGGCCGGTGTTTCCTCGGCCAACTCCTTTTTCCAACCCCGGCCAAGGGTCAATCCTCCCAGATGTCGAGGTCTTGCTTCATCTCAGCCGCTTGCCCAGGCGGGGCAGCAGATCCTGGCGTCCGTGCCCAACGTCGAGGACTTCCGCACGCTGCTGCGGGTGGTGCGGCACTGGGCCCAGCAGCGGGGGCTTTACGGCGCGCGTGCGGAAGGGGCGAAGCGGAAAAACGAGCTGGGCTCGGCTTTTTGGGGCCTTTGGTAGGATATGCATGGGGATGCTCCCGGGGGAAAAGGAGGAGAGTGACATTTGTGGAATGATCCGCCCTTGTTGAAATGCACGGGGATGCTCCCTGAGAGTAACATTAGTTGGCTGCTCTTTGGTAAAACTGTTCAGCACTTTCCACTTGGCCGAGCTGATAGGCTGAGGTGTGACTTTGATCAGGGGATTTGGCCTTAAAGGCCGTTCTGCTCTTGTCAACCTTGATTGTTCAAACAAACTCCGAAATAAAGTGAGACAGACACAGATGTATGTTCAATCAAATGGGAGATGGAGATAGATAGGTCGGCAGCCCAAATGCTGCAGCCATCTACAGGGGTTGGCATCCCTCCCAAGCGGCTGTTGTGGGGTAGAGTTTTTGTTGGTCGGCCGTCGGCCCCCCTTCCTGGTTCAGTACAGCTTCGCCAAGCAAATGTCTTAGGCGGGGACTGTTCGAAGCAGAGTACCAGTTTTTTTGGTTCACCGGTCCGTTTGAAAACGGGTGTCCTCACAAACAATGGCAAACCCGTTTAGAAGCCCATAGCTTAAACAACCTGCATCCCCCTCTCCAAATACCATTTCCTCTTGGGTATCTCGGTGGCACCCAGCCATCCCCTTAGTCATTTAGTAGCGGGGGGTTCCCTTGCTGTGACTGCCTTGGTGACCAAATTTCACTGGGCTGCTCGGACCTCCTTGAGCGGAAGGTCTAACCTTTTGTAGGTTTACAGGTTTACTAATGGACTCACTTCCTGAGTTCATGAACTTTAAACTTTTTGGGTTTCGACCATTTTGGTGGTAAACAAGAAGTTTGGACTTTTGGGCCATCCACTCAGCGTTGAAATGTCTCACCCAAAGACCAGCGTTCATCGCTGCCCTCCGCAGGGAGCCTCTTCGGCTTCTTCAGCGGCTCCGCCTGGGCGGTGTGCTGCGCGCGGGTCTGCCAGGCGCATCCTGGACAGGCGCGGCGTCGAAGTTGGTGGGGGTCAACCGTTCTGGATGGTCTAGGTGATGCTTGGGAGATTGGCAGCCCTAGGAAGAAGCAGCGCTAGAAACAAATCCTGAGCTTTTGGATCCCCATGGTGGTTTGTGGAAGCAAGATGTTCTGTTTCAACCATCGTGTCAAAGCTTGGGGGCCGTCTTGGAATGCTCGCGCTTCTCCCTGTAAACTTGAAGCAAACGGATATGGGTATACATTGCATTCACACACACACACACTCGCATGCTGGTGACTGAATTGGAGCAGACACCAGCATGTATGCATATGAAGTGTAACTTTCTGTTTGCGTACGCGCGCATCTGTGATAGATGCACCGTTTGTGTACATATGGATACTTACGTATGTGTCTGAACGCATGTGTGGTAGATCAGCTGTGGTTGCCTTATATTTTAGACTTTCGTTGTGTCAGCTTCATGTATGTTGCTCATTTTGCATCTTTAGACTTGACTTTCTGTTTTAGGCAAAACCAGTGAGCGTTGAAACTTGAGCTGTTGCGTACCCTTGGGCAAAGAGGACATGCAAAGCTTTGACAGTTGCCTATGGTCAGGGAATAAACTTGGGGCTTCCAAGAATACGCGTTTGTTTTAGTGCTTTGGAGCTGCAGACCTTACTACTGTGAATGACAAGGCTCAACGTGCCAAAACGTGCCCAGCTTTCAGTCCTGGTACTTGTTTTGTGCCTAAGCTCATGTTTGCTTGTTTCCGATGGTGGGGGCTTCGAGCTGTCAAGATGTACATGGTGTGCTCTTTCTTTCAATGCCCAACACTGAAACACATTTTAATGTCTGCACCATTGCATGTTTCACACCAAACATGGTTGCTATTTAGGTGCAGTTTACTCAAAATTAGAAACTGCTGGCAGGGCCGCACTTTTGAACGCTGCCAATACTGTTGATTGGCGTTCAGGGTTATTCAGCAAAGCTATTTCAGCATTAGTTTTGCCTTATATGTAGAAGTCTATTATACACACATTACATATTATTTGTGCGTGCCTGTGCATCAAGGCCCAAACTCCAAACTTTTCCTGTTTTGGAGCCATGGCAAACCTAGAACTACTAGGTCCGCGGCCAGTGTCTGGCCGTGGTAAATTTGCCAGTCTTGGACGTCCATCAATCGTCCACTTTTTCACCAGAAGCCCTCAAGCCCACTGCGATTCGCAACAACATGCACAAATCTGAGTTTGGCGCATTCAGATGGTTCAGGCAAAACCCGGGGTGAAACTAATCGGAGCGCGTTTCCTGACCAAAGGAAGTAACAATGAGTGCTTTGATAGGTGGTGTCAAGGTCTCGCCATCTCAAAACACGACCTGCAACTTTCTCAAGAACGCAACCGGGATGCGTGATTACCCAAAACACAGGTGAATTCCCAAGGCGGGGATACGTACCGAAAATATAGATATCATTTGGCTGCATGTGGACTCCCGAAAGCATGGGTGATGGATGTTTATGTGGACTCATGATGTTGTTTTGCTTCCCACATGGGTGGACCCAAAACGTCGACGCTTATCACTTGGCTGCGTGATTTGGGATTCCCAACGTTGGGCTGCCCCAAACGCGGTTGGATTCCTAAAGGAATCACTGCCCGCAGCGCTTGCATACGCTGCTGGATGCGACAAAGACCGTTTGACAGCTCCAAGATGTCAAGCCTTTAAAACAGCCAAAGCCCCCTACATAGACCACGGTCGTCACGCCGCATTCCGACGACTGCCGGTATCTCACTTTGTTACGGACCTTCAAGTGAGACCTTCCTATGGCTTTTGCGTGCCGGCCCATTTGCAGACAAGATTTTTTGGCCCCGCCCACGGCCAATTCCACCAACTCTTGCCCTGCTTTACACTCTTTTGCCAGTTTTCAGTCGCGGAGTCCACTGCCGCACCCAAGCTAGAAAGTTCGCGGGATCCACAGCATCCAAATCACCCTTGGCCCCCTGACTCGACTGGATCCAGATCAATCGCCTGAGGAAGTTGGACTGCTGCTGTGCCACTTCTTCCAGGATCAGCTCCCAGGGCTTGATTTGGATGGTGAGTTGACTTGACTGCTATTGGGTTGGATCTTTAGACTTTAACTTTTTGGTTGAAATAAAGGTGTTTCCACTAAACCCCCCAAGAAGTTAAACTTTTTGCAGGGGGGTCAACAGCAACCAAGTTGAGACCGGGTCCCATCTGCGGCGTTTGAACGTGGAGTCAAGCGCTGCCCGCAGGAAAGACGGCGACATGCTGAAACGGATTGGGCGGGGGACACATGTTTCCAGCGCGCCCGGGCCCGTGCGACAGGAATGAAAACCGGTGCTCACCGGCTGTTTGAAAATAGTTGTCGAAGCCAGCGCTTTTTAAGTTCACGCTAGGTCCTCACAGGGAACCTGTGCAAAACAGGAGGCAACAATTCTATGTTGGGTGGAGGGGGAGGGGGCTTTCCACTACCTGACCATCCTGACCTTCTTTCTGTTCCACCATTTGCGCAGAAAGGACCCTACTCTCTTAGGGGAGGGCGGTATTTTGCAAAGCCAACATGGATAGATTATGTAGCAACCCTTGTCTGTAGGAGTTCTCCAACAGCCGCCAACCCGACCAGGATAGAGTTAGAGGCACTGAAACTTGCGCCTGATTTCAACTGGTCTCCCGTGCAGTCAAAACCATGGTGCCCCCTCAAAGTGGGGGCCGTATGGTTTTGCATTCGACATGCCAGAAAGCCTTCCCTCAACCTGGGTTCTGTCACTGTTGACCCACCCATCCACACCTGGGTGCATCAGCACGCAGACACAAAGATTCACAGCCATTTTATCCAAAAGCGGGTTGACATGTTTTCCCAGTTTTGGCACAACTTATTGCATCAATACCAGAGCAGAAGTATTGCTAGAACCTGTGACATATTGCCCCTTTTGTGCATGTTTAATTCCACTTGGTACGTTTATAGGCGTGCATTTCCTGAGATATCCTTTCAGGTTGGCGTTTAATCGCTTCTGGGGGTTCCCTATTTTGGCAACATATCCAATGGTGACCACCCATGTCCCGGAAAGCCTCCAAAAGCAAGTCTGATTGTTAGTCACTATGTTCGGTCAAGGTAGTGTGCACAATTCCCTCATTTAGTTTTGGTCATCCCCTTCACTTCCCTTAAAAGACCTAAAACGATGCCATTTGCTTTCACCCTGGCGTATCAGCTTCAATCGCTAGGACTTGTGCCGCTGGGACTGGTCGAAGCCTGTCTCGGTGTTGCCCACAGAGACCGCTGGGCGTCTGTCGGTGATGCTGGGGGCCGGCGGCCGCGTCAGCGAGTCGGCCCTTTTGGCAGCAGAGAGTGTTGCTTTTGCCACCGGGAGTGCAATTTGTGGGTCAACGTTTGGTTGAATACATATATATATATATAATGTTTATTCACATACTTATAGATATATATATATATATATACACACATCGTTCCCCTTCAAACACTAAACCCTAGTTTTAGTGTTGGACGTTCGCCACAAAATGGTGTCCCCTGTTGGTTAATATTTTATGAGAAGCCAAAAGAAACCCAACAACTTGAGATGACCCTTTTTTTTGAGAATCACTCATTCGTATATGTGTCAAAGCCAAGCCGAGGTGAAAAGGGCAGCCCTGAAAACCAGTCACTCGTTTGGCCGTGAATGTTCGTAGTTGGAACACACTTTTCAAACACAACAATGCAAGCGGTGTTTCCTAAAGGTGGCCTTGCCCATTCTGAACCTCCCAGTGTTTTGGGCTGATTGTTGAGGAGTATGTTTGGTGTGGCGACGCTTCCCTGAATTGCTTGAAGGACCACGTCACAAACTTGACTTGCATGTTTTTGCTGGGAATACTTGGATGACCCCTTCCCCAGTCAAACTTTCAGCTAGCGACCACATTACCTCCTGGAAGATTTGTCTTGGAAGAGTTTATTTGAGCAACTGTGCATCCTCTGACCCAAGGAGCCACTTTGTTAGAGGGCTAATTCACCCTGGAATAAGTTTGAGGTCGAGGCTCTGGTATCATTGCGAACCAGGGGCAAGGATTTTCTGACGACAGTCGTTCCTTAAGTGCCAATCGCCTTGAATCCTATACGTGAGGCAGAGGTTTGGTGAGGGTGTGTCTTTGCGCTTTGGCCCCTTGGCATGTTTTGGCTATAGCCTTAAATATGGGGTTAACTTTGCAGGGGCAGTGCAGCAAGACTCTCAATGCCAGGTTCTAATGCACGGGTCCCGCTTGCACGGCAGTCATGGGGCATCCGAGGGCTCCAGGTGATAGAACCCGTTCAACGGATCACGCAAGAATTCTTCATGTATGCTCAACTCAGTCTCTCTTTGACGCCGAACATGTCTCAGTTTATTCCAGACCCCTTGCCCACCTGTTTGACATGGCGTCATATGAAGCTTACCTTCGCGAAACTCCGAAGGGATAGAAGTTCTCGATCCCTTGATCCCTCAGTTGCCCCTTGGGCTAGTCAACCCGCCCCCCCCCCAGCCGTCCACACTTGCCATGCATGAACTACTCCGGGAGTCATCAGCAAACTTACCCACATTGTTCAACAACCGATCCTTAATCCTTTTGCCAGATGAGCTTAGATGGTAGTGGTGCCCCTTGTTGTTGCAGTGTCCCACGACATATTATGGATTTGCCATCTCCGTCAACCAGCGGAGCAAGCCGAGAGCCAACGGTGCTTGCTCTTCTTAAAGTTATTAAAACTACACTTTGCATGTGACAGCTTGCATCAAGCGCTGAGCACTTGTTTTTGCATGTGGCCCGTCCCGAGTGCACGAATTTGCCAAACCCATCAGTTCTCTAAGCTTCACTTGAGGCGCTGACTTGGTTGCTTTATTTGCATGTGATGCAATGAAATATAAGGGCGCAAAACACTACAACTAGTTTACCCCCTACAATCATGACAAAATGTCGCGTTGAAGTACCCCACAATCCACAGCGCCATTCTGGTTTTTCCCTTGTATTACATTCCAAGGAAATTTGGCAGAACACATTGAGCGAATAGATTTTAAATCAAGCGGGTGGAAATAATCTGTCCCTCTTGGCTCAAGAGCAGTCTGTCAGACCTATTGGTGTAAGTGCGCATGAAGATTTGCGTTGTTGTCATGGAAGCTAAGAGGAGTGTTTTTTGGGACGTTGGCCAATGGCTCTTGGCTTTGGAAACTTGGATGGCTTAGCCACCCGTCCGTCCCATTGTCATGGAGTGGATCAAGGGAATCCAATGGAATTTCAATGATTCGTCGCATCAGGTGAACTGAAACCCTGGGTTTTAAGCAATGTGGAGTGCAGGCAAAATCAACCTTGTGGCCACTCGTGCGCCGCGGCTCACACTATCCCCTTGAAGAGGTTCGGAAGCGAAGCATCAAACCGGGCGGCTTCCCCTTGCACTCACTCCAAACAGGCTACCTCACTGAAAACAGGGCCAGTTTTTGTTTTGTGTTTTTTCACGAAAGCTAGCTTTAGCTAGCTGAAGTTTCTCCTTGCGTAAGCAAGGTAAGGGGCTCAAATGCCGAAAGATTAATTTGTTCAATTATTTGAGCCGAAAAGATTGAAAAATATCAATTATTTAGACCCCCCCCCCCTCCCCCCCCCCCCCCGGTCTCAGGCTCGATTCCTCCCTGGTCCATCCCCCCCCCCCGGGCAGTGGCTCAGTGTTCAGCAGTCTCGGTTTGCCCGTTTTGGACTTGGTGCTACGAACTTTTACATGTTCCACCGATTCAGCTTGTTCATTTGAGACCTCAGTCTTCTCGGTAAACCACCTCGCAAGAATCTTTGAACACGCAGCATGCAGAACCCAGAGGTGCTTTCAGACAGCTTCTGACGCCTCTCGTTGTTTTCATTTTTCAAGGTTTGCCACGCCACCATGTGCGTTTGCGTGTCGCATCCTACGAATCTTGCCGGGCCTCTCGTTGTACACAAGCTACCTATGAATCCACTCTGTCACCGACCCATCTCATGCAACAACTGCTAGCTTTCGTTCACCCGCTCCTCAAGTGTGGGCTACCCCTTTTGAGTTGGGTGAACCCAAACGCGCGTCAGCCGAGAGCGACCTGTGAGTTGGCCCCCCGGGGTCAGAGTCAGAGGCCATGCGGGCGCTGCAGAAAGAGCTGCGGCGGGGCCTGAAGGAGGTCAAGGAGCAACGTATCACCGAACTCCTGGCGGGGGGCCCCAGAGTTTTTAAAGCGCCAGCGCTGTGCCTTCAACGGGCAGCCGGTTTCCTTCAATAAATTCAGATCCCAGGCCAGGCACTGTAGGTGAGCGGCAAATTGGCGTTGGGGGTTTTAAGAGGCAAGTCCTGGGTGACTTGCTATACAGGCAAATTCGTAAATTGAATCACTGGGAACTACACTTCAGGGTCTAAATATGAAGCAGAATGAGGCTTTTTCGGGGACCCGGGAGCTGCGCCTAGTGGGAACCCCGGATGGTTAATGAATATAGTGGAAGAGCCATTTTTTTTTTAGGGTCCTTCGTCCGGGGTTCCCATTAGCTCTCCCAAGAAGCTGGGTGGGTTGGAAAGTACCTAGGTTCTCAAATCGGTTCGTAAAGTAGTGCAGGCTGGAACATGATTGTTGTGGATGATGGCAGCTGACAGCTGCCTGCTTCTCGGCAGTTGTGCTAAGGCTCAGCACAACTTCTTCCGGCGCTACCGTGGCAGGCTTAATTGATTGCATTCACTTGCAATCATTGGAGTTTTAGCATCAAGCCGACTTCGAAATATTGTAGCGCGATCGAACCTTGTTATCTAGTTGAAACCCATGCAGTTTCAGGTCAGTGGAGCTGTCAGCCAGCAACAATGAGATCAAATGTGACGAATGTACTTGGCCACACTTAGTTCTTTCATTTGTTTGAACTAAAGTCATTCATGCGTCTCAACTTTTTGGGCGGAAGCTACACCACTGTGCAATCTTGCTTGCCTTGCTTGTCGCCTGCCGCCAAGGCCAATACATCCGCCTGGACTTCATTGGCACAACTGAGGAGGCCAGTGGCCGATGTTTTGCTTCGCAGTCTTGGCCCTGATTTGGTTTCGTGCGGGTCGAACCTAGCTGCCTCTGGGAATTACCTGTTGGGAGGGGGAGTGGAAAATCCCGGCGCCAACCCTTTTTTCCTCAACACATTGGAACATAGACAAATAATACCCACTCAAACCATTGTCTTTTTCCAGCGCGTGACAACAGCTGCAAATGGCATGAAGGTTTGCTAGCAAAGCGGCGAACAAACAGCACGGCGCTGGGCAATCGCATCGCATTGGCGGTGGTGCTACCCTAGCTTCCTGATCTTTGTGTCATCCCTGTGTATGTGA